CTGTCACAGGATTTGACAGATGCACCCAGTCTTGCTATAGCAAAAATGAGATAGTGTTACAGAAACACCAAGTGTTACCATAATACACAATCTCATTAAGAAGAGTCTGCTCCTGCTTTTCTTGTTTCACTATAAGGAGGTTCCACGCAGGTTTATGGTGCCCACAGGACTCTCCTTTTGCTACATATTTGTTCCTTAAATATTGAACCTCAACAGTGAAAGGAACCTCCCCCGCCAACTAACAAAACATTATTTTTTGATAGAAAATATTTACATTTAGTCATCAAAAAAAAGCCACAGCAGAGACAGGATACCATGCACACACACACAAAACGAGACACCACATTCAAGTTCAGTCAACAGACCACAATGGTCTTTCTCAAAGAGACAGAGTATGATCTCATTCATTTTGTGGGACTGCAAGGGTAAAGGAATGTCCTGTTCTTAAAAGCACAATCCTCATGGTTTTCTTCAGAAATGAGAAAACAAAATGATAGTCAGCAAACAGGGCGAGGGGGGATGGAGGGAGGGAAGAGGAAGGAGGCTCAGGTGTGGCTTAACAGCCAGGCACATAGGGCAGGTTTTATGCTATTTTTAAGCACAATTGGTTAATGAACTAATCTGCAAATAAAATGCATATCTATGATCATTGGCAATCGCCAAAACTCTGTTCACTAAGCAAAAAAAGGGCAAGTACTTTGATCAGGAAGCACTTGCCGCTGCTGCTGAGTTCCCTCCTGCCTGTTGCTGTTCCATGGCTGTGCCCGTCATCTCACACGGACCCAGCAGCACCGCGGCACCCGAGATGGGGATAATGACTGATCCTCGTGTGAGCAAGAGTTCCATGCAAAACAATACTCTTCAAGTCTGTCATCCCAAACATGGAGTTTTCACACATGAAAGGGAGTGCTGAAGGCTCACTTACTGGCTGAATGCTGAGGTGACTGAAGTACAGCGCACTTGAACATGGATGAGAGGGGAAAAGAGTCCAGGGGATTGCCAGGTGAAAATCTTTGGGAGAAGGGAGAAACTGGAGGAGGTGACTGGAAAGGATTTTGCCTCTGTGTGTGTCTGTATCACTGGATGGGAAATAAATAATGTATGGAGGCAAACTGTTTACACAACAGCATACAAACAGATATCATATAAATAAGCGAGCGTGCACACACACACAGAGGGGCTGCTATCCTCATATCCTCACTCCCTCAAGCCCCTCTCTTTTGCTGTCTGCATGAACATCTTTTGTCAAATTTTGCCCTCTGCCGACACAGGAGAGTAGCACAGCGCTGATCTCATTCAGTGGGACCAGTGATTCCATAATCCAGTGTAAGGACTCGGATCGAGCTTGACCATTCAAGCTATGATTTACCCAGCTGCATCCACCTGCATTGTGCTGGCTCAGGTCTCGAGACAGTTTTATTTCAGGACAAAAAATTATTTTTACCCAAAATTGAACTAGAATTAAGATCCCCTGCTCCAAGGAACAGGCAGGTTCCAGACAGAAATGAGGATGACTTCCAACAGATGTGTCCCTCCTCACTCTGCCTGCAGGCTTCAAGGGTCTTGTAAGACACCTCGCCGCAGCCCCCCAATAACCCGCACACTCTGTAAAGGCCCCAGTGCTGTCTGTCCTGTTCGTTAAGGACTGCCACGCTGCACACACAGCTTCACGGCATCTCCTTCCCTGCTTGCCCTGGCAGAGCTCTTCGCTCCATCACTTCCACAGCGTACGCTGGTGCACTGCCTTCCTCACCCTCACCAGACACGAGCAACCGGAGGTGCTGAAGCAAGAGGCAGTCCTCGTGTCACACAGACACTGGGTGAGGCCACCTGGGGACAGTACGAGGAAGGCAGCTGAAACTGTGGACAACACCAGGTGAAAAAAAGCTACTTTCTGGTGGATATTCAACTGTGGCACTTGGTGAAAGCTGAATGGTCCTAAGACAGGACATTATGGGTTGCCTCCAGAAAAAAACACTTCTGAACTTTTTATCATGATCATTTTTGTTGGGATCTGTATGTATACATGTACCTACCTATTACTTAAAAAAGGAAAAAATGTTGATTAAAGTTCATCTCATTGTATCTAGGACTATACTTTGAGAAGTGCAGCTCTCCATGTCCTTTCCCCCAAAACAATAAGGACAACTTCCACATGTATATGCAATAAAACTGTATTTTTGTGTGGTTTTGCCTTTTTTTTTTTTTTTTTTTAATACAGACATTTGTACACTTTCTTACAAAACTGCAGGTAACTACAACTTTTCTTAAATCATTTTTGGTCAGCAAGTACTGTAAAATCTTTGTGTGCAATTATCATGTATTTACAGGGCCTCATGTTAGTGATTTTCAATGATTATTACAATAATGTCACACACTCTCAACATAAGACATGGCTTAAGATAAATATATTAGTAAATAAATATTCTGAGAACATATTTCCATAAATGAAATGTGCTGCTATACATATACAGAATATATACAAGATGTCTTCTAGCTTTTAAAACATTTAAAAAAATGGTAATGAAGGAGAAAGAGCCCTTTGACCATATTACAAATCTTTACAGCAAATTTTATACAAAAAATTTTAAGTGCTATAACTTTAATTAAAAACATTTTAAATAGTGCCTCGTGAGCCAAACACAATGACAACTGTTCATATAAGTAGTAGAAAGGCATTTTGTTATAAAAACCATCTGTCGTGGCCAGCTAGCCTGTAAGTCTGTAGGACATACAGATAGCAGGGAATTAACTAAATGCTGAATATAAAACCAAACACAGAAACCAAGTGTGCGTTACCTCTGTGGTAAGGCCTGCAGAGACTGTTGTACTGGCAGAGATTTCCACAACGTGTGAATGAAATCAGTACATCCAGGAACACCGTAAGCCACAATATCCAAATTTCTTTTTTATAACCACGTTTCACCACAACATGCTGTGTAGTTAGAGAGTACAATGCATCTGAGGCAGCCTTAGACACTGCCTCACAAAACACCAAGCAGAGTAACCGAAGTAGTACACCATGGCTTGTACAATGCATTTGAGTGGAGGAAGGAGGCAGGTAAGAGTTGGAAAAAAACAAGCAAACAAACAAACAAACAAAAAACCCCAACCTTTAGTGTTTATTCTCCCAACACATACCACTTACTTAAGTCATTCAGAGAATGTCTAAGTTTTCAATAAGCTTTATACACAGAAAATGTGTTTATTGGAATTTTTATTTTAATCTTATATTCAGATATTGCCTTGCATTAATTCTCTGAAGAGCTGGATTTTGGTGTTTGTTCATTTAAAAAGATTTAATGTGTATTCTTTTAAATAGAATTATATTTTCCTAACTTACTGAGTACAGAAATTAAAAGTAAACAGATGAATGTATTTGTTATTTCTTAGATGTTTGCTCCTTTTAAAATGTTTCTTTTAGAACTATAAAGCAAACAGGTTAACTTTGCTGGTTCTCACAGTCAGCCCGGTGCTGTCAACGACATTGCTTTGGCAGAAAATTTAACACGAAATGTGTGTGTCTCTTAGTCTTTTAAGTGTCTCCAAAGTGTACTCAACTTTGGACAGATCTTTTCAGAAGACTGGCACCGTGGGCATTAAATAATCAGTTTCCCTTTAGGAGAATTCCAAAAAAAACACCAGACAGGATGACACTGTGTCCTCAGGCACATGCAGCATGACAGGCAATTTAAACCATGCTATGGTAGCCTCTTACTCAGAAGCTGCTGTTTCCACAGGAAACAATTGCTATCAGAAGTGACGACATATATTATCTCATGACAACAAACATCCCCACTAGTACAAGAACGGGAACAAAAGTATGTGCCCAGGCTAATGGGGTACAGAGAGCACTCTGTACACGCAAGAAAAACGAAGCGCAACTGGCTGGGCCCAACAAACCTTTGAAACAGATCCATCTGTGGAAGCTACATCAACCACAGCAAAGAAGAGAACAACGATTAAACCAAGCCCCTCACTTTCCCACACGCACAGAAGGTGACAAGCACTGCTTCCCTCAGGCACGCGTGCAGTCTGTAAGGAAACAGGACACCTTCTGACCTGTTTCCAAAATGAGCCACCCAAGCTGCAAGCACCCTCCAAGTTCTGTTTTCCTGCACATGCCAAGATTCCTCACAGCTGGAACAGGGGCTACAGGTGCCTGAAAAACCTCCTATGGAAGGGATGGTTCCTTACCTACAAAGGTATTACCCTTTCTAAGCACTGTCTCCGAGCTACTGTTTGAGGGAGGCGTCCCCAGCATTCTTCACCAGTCGGAAGATACAAGGAGGTCCATGGTTTAGCAGGAAGTGAGGATGAGAACATTCTGAGCTACCAGTTTCCCTACCCTCACTCTCTTAAAACTAATTATAATGGCAGGAAACCATTCCTAGCCGAATCATCAGAGCAGCATGAAAGGGGGAGGAAGGGAGAGGAGAAAGGAGACAGTCCAATGCTTCACCTCCCTCAAAACCACTCATATAACTTGCTGACTACTAGGTTTAGTCAGTATCTGAGCATCCACTCAGCAGCTGTATCCCTCTGGACTGCTGTATTTCAAGGTGCTATCTGGTTTCTAAGGCAGGTGTAGCCCTGAGCTTATCGAAGGCTGGACTCCCGTAAGTAGGAGATAACAGCATCTACACATAGCCTGGCTTATTTAACACACCGTGTTACCTCTCACCAAGAGCTGACACGGTCACTTCTAAAAAGAAAATATAAATAACACTTTGTTTTTAATATAGAAATGGCACTAGAGCTCAGAAATGCTCCACACCATGTCCCACCTGGGCTTTGCACAAAAATGGGAGGCCTGAAGGCTTCAGGCAAGATGGAGAAAGGAGACAATCAAACCGATGTGAACACAGAGGAAGTGGGGGAGGGACTTCTCCACATTACCACTTTTGTGTGTTTGTCAAAGCTTAAAAAAAATTAAAGTCCATGAGAATTTGGAGTCTCTGATAAGCTCCTCTTCTCCATCCGGGATCATCTGGACAGGTCTAGTCACCAATTTGGCTTCTCTCCAAGGGATGAGGTCCAGCACCTGAAGGATAAAGAAAACTAAGGAACACTGCATCTAGAATATTGCATCCGGTTTTGGGGTCCGCAGAACAAGACACTGACTGACTGGAGCGAGTTCAGCAGAGAGCCAGGATGCTCAGATGGCTGAAGCACTTGCCCGGCGAGAAGAGGCTGAGCAACTGGGGCTTGTTCAGCCTGCAGAAGAGAAGGTTTCAGGGGGTAGCCCCTAGCAGCTTTGCAATACCTACATGGAGGTTGTCACAACAATGGAGCCAGGGTCTTCACAGTGATGCATTCTGGACAAGAGGCAGGGAGCTGAAGGTGAGACATGAGATGCTCAGACTGGATGTAAGGAAAATCTGTTCACCATCCTGGCAGTCAAGCATGGGAACAAGGGCCCAGAGAGGAGGTGCACACTCTGTGTCCCTGGAGGTTGTCCCTGGAGGCTGTCATGGCCTGACCGGATAAACTTGGGTCTAATCTGACAAACTGAGTAACTTCTCTGAACACCCTTAAGAACAGCTCTGGCAAGGCAGGTAAGGAACACCTCTCGTGTCAGCGAGTGGTTCTTTTTTCCCCCCCTTGAGTATGTCCACAACAGAGACCTTCCCACATATTCTTCTACAGCAATTCCAAGTTTTTCACTCATTTTTTTTTATCCCTCAGCTTGTCTGTGCCCTCCTCTGGCCTTGCATACGTAGGCAGCTTGCCACAGCTGCCGTGACTGGCGCAGCGTCCCTGGCTGCAGGAGCTCAAATGGGGGCCTGGCACCAGCAGTCACTTTTTCCCATCCTCACAAAGGATATGAAAGCTCTCACAGGGTTAAACAGTAAACCGTCATCTTCTGTTCCTCTAGCTATGACCGAATGAGCACAGGTAACAAGACAGTAACATTTTTGGGCAAAGGATTAGTCAATAACCTGCTCTTATGCAAAGGATGTCAGCAACCTTTATGGCTGCAGGTACCTAGGAAGCTGGCAGCATTTCATACGCCAAGACAGAAAGGTAGTGAGTAATCAAAAAAAGCACACATATTACCTGTGGCCTTTGTAGTCGTCATCAGCTTCTGGGAGTTCAGAGTGGGACTGGGAAAGAGCATTCTGGCTTCCTCCTCCTGAGAGCAGTTCTGCCGCAGGAATGATGCTGCCTCGCAGCACACCTCCCTCTCGTCCTGTACCTCTCCTACACCTTGGCAGTGCAGGTAAGCGTCTAGCTCAGGTGTTCCATCCCAGGAACCACTGCCTCCCCTGTCAGTCCCTTGGCACTCTGTAGGTAGGATCAGCTCACAGTCTCTGTCTTCAGGAATTATGGGAATGCGTTGACCCACATCACATACACCCTTACAGCAGCTTGGCAAGGTGTCATCGGGAAGCGTGTACTGCACATTCACTGCATAGTCTTCTGTATAGCAGCCACCACCTCCACTGCCAAAGCTACCTGCTTCTCTTCATAGAAGCAGCAGGGCAACCCCTCGTATTTCACCCTATCTGTCCTATGCAAGTGGTCTGAGTTAATACTGTACAAGCCCGGGGTGTTCCCTGACTGTGGTTCTATTCCTGGGCCACACGTCCCCCAGAGTGGCGAGCTAAGGAAGAGTGCACTGCAGTCAGCTGTCCCGTTGCTAGGCTCCAGGGCAGAGTGCTGGAGTTCAAAGCAGCACGCGCATGCTTGCTCCATAAGTGGCCCTGCTATCTCTGGATTCTTCCAGTTCCTTTGAACATCCAAGGCAGCACCAGGAGTGGCCTCATGTCCTCCCTCTGAGGTAGTGCCATTTGGATCCCTGTGCTCTAGTGAGGAATTACTGCTATAGTTCATATCCATGCTGCAATTAGACAGTTGGTCCCCTGAGGAAGAAGCTGGCACAGGCCGGCAGTCAGGACCCACCAGACTGTGACCATGAGCTGGAAGCTCATCCTGGTGGGGGCCCTCCAAGAGAACAATTGCACCCCGGTTTGCACCACCAACCTCACCAGCTCGGCAAGGGCTCTTACTGCGGTAAACGTACGGGTCATAGTCACTGCTCAGAGAGCTGCGAAAGGTGGAGCAGCTCCCGTAAACCCCCTGGTTGCTGACCTCAGTGCAGTCAACCATGGAATCACTAGAGGAGCAGTGGCACTGGCCAGAACTGCTGCTGCTGCTGTCACTCCCAGGGCAGTCGGCCAAATATCCACTGCACACTGAACGATGACCATGATAGCAGCTGAAGCTGGAGGTGCTGCCACTCTCCAAGCGGGATGAGGGCACCACATGTACCACAGGAGGGAAAACCATGCTGCTACCAGGCTGGAAGGCACGGGAAGGACCCTTTGAGGAAACGCCAGCTGCAGGTTGTCCATCTTGCTCAGGGTAACTAAGGCCTTGGAAGTAGTAGTGCTGATACATGGTCTCATACTGGGAAAAGCACGCTGCTTTGGAAAAGTTGCGTCCACCAAATTTGGGTCTTCGGAAGTTGTGAGATGGAGAGTAAGCCCTATGCTCCAGGCTACAGTGATGTGTGTTTAAAGCATGGTCTAAATGAATAGGCTGGTAACTTCTGATATAGGCTGGGGACTGGGCTTGGTAGAGGCTCTGCTCACCACGTCGTTCAACTGTAAGTACTGTGATAGGGTTTCCGTGAGGGTCCATGCTTGTTCGAGTGGGATATGCTGTTATCTGGTTTGCTCTGTGCACTCGGCCTGGGTAATGGACAGGCAGAATCACCCTCTGCTGCCGGCTGCGGGCTGGGTTGATGGATTCCAGACAGACTGGACCTGCATTTCCCTTCTTCTGTTCTGAATGACAGAAATAAGAGTGGAGAAGTGGAAGGGAATTAAACAGAGTATATTTTATGCAAGAAAGAAGGATATTTTGTTCTGAATTTAGTTACATTATGCACACAATGGACTTTTTTTTTTAAAAAGCACCAACCTTTTACATGGAAGGAAAAATAATAAAACAAACAAAAGTCAAGAGCATCTGCCTGGAAGCCTTTGAAACACTCAATCTTATTTGCTTAAAAAGGAAAAGAAGTTATTTCAGACGCTGTTCTCATATATGCAAAACCTTTTGCCTATGCAGCTTTCCTGGTCGTGCAGAGTAAGAGCAAGGCTGGCAGTCACTGCTTAGAGTTTTCACTTTATGCATTATTTTACATAAATGTGTATTAATAGAAAACTTGTACAAGACAGAGGAAATGGGAGGAGTTGCCTTAAAATAAAGACTATGGGCTCTATAGAGATTTACAAACAGGCACAATTTCTGTTTCATCTTGTAAGCTATCAAGTCCAAAATGGACAACACAGCAGAGCATCTGTACGGCGGCACTTACCTATGATGTTATGGCGGCAGTGAGGGCAGGTATGATGCTGCAGCAGCCAAGGATCCACACATTTCTTGTGAAATCGGTGAGTGCAGGGAATGACACGCAGTTCCTACAGGAACAGAAGAAGGAACATAAAAAAGTACTCCTTCCTAATGAGTGAACTGTTCACAGTTTATTCCTGGATAGTCAACCTAACTACTAAATGGATCAATTCCCAGCCTCAAAGTGACAAGAAGGAAAAAAATGCCATCTATTCCAACGCAGCGAGAAGCACAACAGCTAGCGATCACCCGTCACTAAAAGAATAGTCTGCAGGCATATCAGATATATGCAGACATACTGCATTTCTTCAGGACACTTTTTGCTATGTGTCCCTATGACCTAACACCATGAAGCCCATCATTAAAGTTTTCCTTAATATATTAAATGAACTTTTAAGAAAAAAATCAGGTGCATATAATGATGTATCTTGACCACAACTACCAGCAATGGAAAACACTCAGGGAAAAGCAAAGACAACACAGTGTATATGATACTTTTTCCCTTGCCCAGCACTCTCATCCTTCAGCTATTATCTGTTCACAGGATTTCCTGAGCCTCCCTGATGAGATGCATCTGTGGGAACTGGCGGATGAAGTTGCTAAGCCACTATCCATCATATTTGAGAAGTTGTGGCTGTCTAGTGAAGTTCCTACTGACTGGAAAAGGGGATATATAAGCCCCATTTTTAAAACAGAAATAAGGAAGACCCAGGGAATTACAGGCCAGTCTTACCTCTGTGCCCAGGAGGATCACGGAGCAGATCCTCCTCGAAACTATGCTAAGGCACATGGAAAATAAGGAGGTGATTGGTGACAACCAGCATGGCTTCACTGAGGGCAAAGTGTGCCTGACAACTTTGGTGGCCTTCTATGACAGGGCCACAGCTTTGATGGATAAGGGAAGAGCAACTGACATCATCTACCTGGACTTGTGCAAAGTGTTTGACACTGTCCTGCACAACATCCTCTTCTCTAAATTGGAGAAACATGGATTTGATGGACGGACCACTCAATGGACAAGAATTGGCTGGATGGCCGCACTCAAAGAGTTGTGGTCAATGGCTCAATGTCCAAGAGGAGACCGGTGACGAGTGGCGTTCCGCATGGGTTGGTATGGGGACGGGTGCTGTTTAACATCTTTGTTGGTGACACGGGCAGTGGGATCCAGTGCACCCTCAGCAGGTTTGCTGATGACACCAAGCTGTGTGGTGTGGTGACACGCTGGAGGGAAGGGATGGCATCCAGAGGGACCTGGACAGGCTGGAGAGGTGCAACCGTGCCAACCTCATGGAGTTCAACAAGGCCAAGGGCAAGGTCCTGCACGTGGTTCAGGGCAATCCCAAGCACAAATGCAGACTGGGAGAGGAATGGATGGAGAGCAGCCCTGAGGAGAAGGACTTGGGGGTGCTAGTGGATGAAATACTGAACGTGCCCCGGCAATGTGTGCTGGCAGCCCAGAAACAACCCATGTCCTGGGTGCCATCCCCAGCAGCGTGAGCAGCAGGGTGAGGGAGGGGATTGTCCCCCTCTGCTCCACTCTGCTGAGACCCCCCCTGCAGTGCTGCATCCAGCTCTGGGGTCCTCCGCACAGGACAGACACGGAGCTGTTGGAGCAGGGTCAGAGGAGGCCACAGAGATGGTGTGAGGCTGGAGCAGCTCCCGTGCGAGGACAGGCTGAGAGAGTTGGGGGGGTGCAGAAGGCTTTCTGGGGACCTTCGAGCACCTTCTAGTGCTGAAAGGGGGCTACAGGAGAGATGGGGGGGCTCTGGATCAGGGGTGTAGGAATAGGATGAGGGTAACGGTTTTAAGCTGAAAAAGGGGAGATTAAATTGGATATGAGGGAGAAATTTTTCCCTGTGCGGGGGGTGAGGCAGTGGCCCAGGGTGCCCAGAGAAGCTGTGGATGCCCCATCCCTGGAGGGGTTCAAGGCCAGGCTGGATGAGGCTTTGGGCAACCTGGGCTAGTGGGAGGGGTCCCTGCCCATGGCAGAGGGTGGAACTTGATGATCTTTAAGGCCCTTGCAACCCAAACCATTCTGTGATTCTATCATATCTACCAGTTCAGAAACCCACAACAGATCCTTCTTCCAAGTACTGTTTAAGTCTCCCCGTGAGCTCAGGTTTTGAATTTGTAACATGCTTGGCAAGAAGTGCCACAGGGCTACTACCTGCTGGTGGAGAAACACTACATTTTGATTCAGATTGGATCCTAGCAGTTTCATTTAATTACACCCAATCTTGTACTGGAAAAAAATTAATGTCTGATTCCTGTTCATGCTCTCCATTCACGATTTTGTACTCCCTCCGCCCCCATGTAATCTAGGAATAAGCAGTCCTAGCCCACTCAGTCATTTTTTGTACAAAAGCCATTCCAAATCTTTCATCACTTTGTGATTACCCTTTTCTGAAGCACCTTCATTTCCAACATACCTTTTGTGAAACAAGATCAGAAGTGCACACAGTACTCAATATGAGAGCATGACTGAACTTACACAGTGGTGTAATTGTCTTCTGTTCAGTTCTCTAGACTTCCCCTTCTCATTTCTAACATCTGATTTGCCTTTTTTGTCTGCCACAAAGCACCAATCTGCTTTCACAAAGCTATCTAAAATAGCTTCAAGATCTTGCTCCTGAACAGTAATGCTGGCCTCACTACCCATCACTAATGCGTGTGAAGCTCCTCCCCATGTATATCACTTCATGCTGAAGTTCATGCATCAATTTCCTGTCCAGTCAGTTTTGTACAGCCCTTTTGAAGTTCTTGTCTGCCTTCATCCTTGCTACTCTAAATAATTTCCCATCAGCTAACTTCATTAAGTTTCTCTTTGTAGTTTGTAGCACCCAAATACCACAGCCCGTATTTTCTATTGCCTTAAAAATTATAAATCTTTTATGATTAATTTCAAAACAAAATGTCCTCAAGTAATTTTTTATATAGAAGTTTAAAACTGTGACTATTGACTGCCTCTGTTCTAAGGAGCCTATTTTCTATTTCATCCTTTCATTGCTTCCTCTGGGTAGAACTGCATCACAGAAGGCAAGCACTGACATCAGAGCAGCGATGATAACTGAGGAATCAAAAAACAGTTCCCGAACCTCTTGGCATCTCCTCCTTCTCCCCTGGTTTCCCAGCAGTGCTGTGTACCTGACATTTTAAAGACATGGTGCCATCAAAGCAAAACACAAAATGTATCCCTTATCTCCAACAGAGCTTGCATGTGTCATCACCTCAACACACAATTTGCCAAAAATACCTGGAGAACTAAATGTTGAGGTAACCCTGACTTCTTTACAAGTTCTTCCTCAGGAAAGCAACTTGATGGAGGTAAAAACTTGCAGAATGAGATCCCTCACCTCGCACTTCGTAGTATGGGGAAAAGCCCTTGAAATTTCTTTGGGAGATGCGGAACGTAGTTGAGGCTGAGCTGGCTACCCAATGCAACCAGTCTGGCAAGCAGCACTACCTCAGTACACAATGTACCCGACATCCAGCTGCGTACCACAGTACTAAAATAAACCATCTGCATTCTCAGCCCATGCTGAAGAAACCATTTTTCCCTTTACCTCCCCATCAATGTACTTCTCCAAGCAGATGGCACAGTCAGAGGTGGAGCTGCTGCTGAGTGTGTCCAGTGCTCCACAGCTACCTTCCCGGTGTCCCTTACTTTTGGACTTAAACTTCCTGGTCTCCATTTTTTCCAGTGCTTGAACTGCAAGCCTGTTCATGGAATTCTACAACAGAAGAAAGAAAAAAAAAAAAAAAAAGAAAAAGGAAAACAAAAAGGTAATGCTGCTGCATAATGGACTATAGCAGAGGAACACCACAATTTTCAATCTCAATATTCTCTCCACAATACAGCAACAAGAGCTTGGACTTCTTTAGAAGTACACCAGTGCTACTGATAATCAACTTTTGAACAACCAGAAATGTTCCTCCTTCCCAATGGCTAAATGGACTGCTTCTGTACTCTTTCCATTTCAGGATTTAACTGAATGAACATCACAGGTCATCGCAGATCCCCTTTAAAGACATTTCCAAATTTTTCCTACATCCACGGATAAAACCCTTTCCACAAAGATGGCTATTCTAAGTCAGTGTCTGACATTTCCAAAAGTAGTGAGCAAGTTCTAGGACAAAGTAAGAGAAGCTAACTTTCAGCATTCAGTGAATATCCCATTACTGCTCTTACCTGACTACGTCGCTGTTTCAGTTTGATCTTGACAAGAAGAATGAGGCAAACAAGAGACACAACCACAAAGAAGGCTAGGAAAATTCCCATATCGAAGTACTCAGTGGGTTGCTTAAAAATTAAAACAAAAATATTACTTTTTCTATTTCTATTACTATTTATTTAGATCATACTCATCTATTATCCCCTTCTCTTCTCTACTTTCTCAATGGTCATTGTCAAATGTACACAGTCACAACAGCAAAAGTTGAAGTACACACTGTTCTGTTCATTAACTAGGATTCCGTGAGACAAAACCTGGGTTTCACTGCAAGTAAATGAAATACATAGATTGCCAGGCACAAGATGCCAGAGTTGCGGTGTCTCTGAACTGATCCCACTAAACCCAGGTTTTTTAACTGAGTGAATTTTCATGATTTTTTGTTTTGTTTGTATACTTGAGTGAGTGAAAATCAACACCTGAATTTTCAGCAAATGGTCCACTTCTCAAAGACATTTATTGACAGAAGAATTCTACAAAAATACAACAAAACCAAAGTGGTAACTCGGACGTGGATGACCTCTAGCTTTGTTCTTCTCCTGTAAACTACATGTAGAGAGTGCCCAAGCAAAACTCTAGAAAATCTATTTTATGTTACAAGTATCAGAGATCAAGTAATTAACCCATGTTTAAAATACAACACAGAATTATTAGTTAACACAGGGCAGACTACCTTACAAATTGCTCCTACCAGGAGTGTGCAATAATTAATTAAAGTTATGTAATTAAGAAAAACTTCTGTTATACAAAATGTTTAGCCATTTATATATTCAAAAGCATCCTTATGAAAGACAGCAGATGCCACATTATGGATTCCATGCTTACAACAAGCGTAGCTCTTTGTCCACAGTGCTGCTGCTCAATTTCTTTAGGTCAACAGAATTTCACATGTATTAATGCTCACAGGGAGCATCAAAACATCTTCACACTCAGTGCAGTTAGCAAGCACTGCATGAAGTAACAGCTGTGTAATACCTAGATAAAGTTTCTTAAAGTCTCACCCGTGGGGGGCGATGCTGAATCCTTGCTCGTGCCACTTTCTGCTTGTTAACTATGTTCATTAACTTGACAGCATCAGCACCCTTCACATACACCACTGGTCTCTTCAGAGGGTCCTCTGAGCCCTGGTTCAGCTGGAACAAAAAAACAATCAACTCAAAACGTATGTTTCAGGTGAACTACCTCTCTTTCAGACACTGGAGAGAAGAGTAAAAGAATATGAATGTGGAATTAATTCAAGCACCAGTTGTTCTCTTCTAGCATAGACCTTCACCTAAGTATTTAATTCAGGTTTAACACTGTGGAAGTTTCGACTTAGGTTTTTTGTTGTGTTTTTTTTTTTTTTAAGCAAATGTTATTTCTGAACAGCTGCTTTAACTTAATTGCATTATGTGCCACTGCATCTATTAATACCGTAATAAACTGAACCTCATAATGAAGAAAAATCTGTACATTCCAAAAAAAAAAAAAAGGCCTTGCTACATTTTCTGAACCTTTTTTTATTTCAACCTCGTAGTTGTATTATTCACATACAAATTTATTTGGCTTTCTGAACAATCTTACGTCAGAGTCCGGTCTTTCAGGCTCTTTGTACCTAGCCAATTTATTGAAGTCTGTAATTTCTGCTGTTTAACTCAGCAAACTCATTCAAATAGTTATTTGGGTTCTAGCAACCACTAAACCTATTGATTACAGGATAAGGTCCTCAAAGACTACAGCATATGACCAGATAGCTTAATTCACCCTGAAACTTCTTTCCAGGTTCAGCGAAGTTTTTTGAAAGGCCAAATCATGAAATCAGAAAATAATGTGGGTGGGAAGGCACCCCATAGGTCCAACCTCCCGGTCAAGGCAGGGTCCACTATAACATCAGACCAGGCTGCTCAGGGCTTTCTCCAGTCAGATGTGGAAAACCTTCAAGTGTGGAGACTGCATAACTTTTCTGGCCAAAAAATCCAGAAAAACAATCTGCTGATCTACACACCAGAGAGGGGAATAACAAGGCAAGATAATTTTTCTGTTAAAAAATGGCACCAGCATAGTAAATTCATACAGCTTATTCTGATCCACAAGAAAAATCCTCGTATAGAGGCTGGCTGACACAAAATGAGCAAGGCAACTGGAAGCAGATGGAAACGGTACACGGGAAAGGAATGAGATGACAGGAGTGCAAGCAAACTGAAGAAGAGTAGCATATGGCCGAGACACCATATTTACACTGTTGATATCTGCCTGTTGTTTCTGGCTAAAACATAGAAATTACCAACTGACTGGTTTACCACCCTGGTTACAAAGTACTCTACTTAATCTGTCCAGATGATGGTGACCAGTTTCACTGAGACTTTAAAACAGATTCTTCTTAGTATTTGACTGGGCTTCTGAGAACACTGATCAAGCTATTTTAAAGACAGATGCCTTCTGAAGAGCTAAAAACTAGCTGAAGTACTTGAAGCCAACCCAGGGATCCTATATGCCTACAAGGCTTGCTGGCCTAAGGCCAAATACAATCACTGTCCCTATGTTCACAGCTTTTTCTCAAGCTTTCTTATGCAAGAAGGCATTCACCTGATTCCTCAGTAGCTTCTGCACACTGACAGACTTTTGCTAAACAAGATGCTCTCGGTGCTGTTACTCCTCTTCAAACTATGCAAAAGTAAAACTAAGCAGCAAGTCACATTTCACAGAGCACTTCTAAAAACAAGAAGTTTAATTCTTGGTCTACAGCAAAAGACACTCAGATCAATGGGAAAAAAACCCACAAAGTCTGCATGTAAAGCCCTTTCACTTGTAACAACTCTGCTACCAAAATGTCTGAGGACAACTCTTTTTGTCAGGCCTGCTTCCCGTTTCTGTTCACTAACTGACAGGAAGGATCGCCTTTTGTAACACTCCCCTCCTCTGTTTCAAAGCACTCTCCCTCAGTTGTTCTATTGCTTGATAACAAGCATACCTGGGAAAGCTTCCCAAACAGCTCCCCTCAGTGTCTTAGGATACTTCCATTTGAATCAAAGATACTCCAGATTAACTCACGCCAGCTTTTCCTCCATTATTATCCATCTGGCATTGTCGCCCACAACTGCTTTGTGAGTGACAAAATTTTAAAGACAAGTTAATTAGTATCCCCTGATATCAAGGGTTCTGAAGACTTTGGCTGAGAATCAAAATGCATGGAACACAAGTGTCCAGAGCAGCACGAGAAGGGAGCCAATCAAGTCCTCTTACGCTTGGAGTATGAAAGTCTCATTCCTCTCCTGCTTGTGAGTGCTTGCACAGGCTGCTGCTCTGTCCTGTAACACAGTCTACTTTGTCAGCTACTGAGCTAAGCCACCTCCTTCCATTTTACTGGTACACCCCAAATATTCAAATGTTCACCAGACTAGCTTCCCAGCTACTGGGGACAGTTGCACCCAGTTTATTATCAAGACTCAAGGACGGACAGCCGCTGCTGGTAAAGGGAAGAGAGCAAGAGGCAGTAACCCAGCTTCTCAAGTTCAGAGCAAGGTGGCTGAGAGTAACTGGAAACTGTAATAATACAGAGGAAAAATTGGGAAAAGACAGATTACATTTTGTGCAGATATTTTTCTGTGTATAAAAGGGTAAAAAACATCCCTGAGAATGTTTGCAAGATCAAGGCTTTAGCCTTGATGCGCATGCAGAGTGCAGTTCTCAAAGCCTCCATTGCAGGCGGTCTGCAGCCTTTGTCCCACAGATGCTTATTTCAGAATTAAAGCCAGCGTTTTAAAATGTAAACACTGATGGTCTCTCTTTTCCCCAAAAAATTCAGGCTGCACTTGAAAACATTCAGCTTCACTTGTTTCTGTTGTATCAGAAACAGCAGTTTTGTTTCAAGACAAAACAAACTAGACCAAATACAGACAATTTTTGCATTTGTTATGTTTCTTCTCTCTACTCAACTCAGAATTGTAAGGATCTTGTCAAAGCATTTCACAGAGCTATTACCTCACCCACTTCAAATGAAAAGATGGCAGGTGTACCGAGACCCCTTAAAAAAAGAAAATAAACCGTTCTTGTCCACAAAATCTGTAGGCCAGAAATCATCAGCTGTAAACAAGAAATAAATGTTTAGAAGTTTTGCAAGAATCTTGTTTAGAATCAGGTTTGAAAGACATTTTTCTACCTCAAAAATAGCAGCTGCTCAACAATTCTGTCCATCACAAGCTGGGTAGGGCCAAACACCCTGTGTTTTGTGCACAGAGCTGGGCAAAGAAAACCTCCTTTGTGACTTTTTGGGCCACAAAAAATTTGCTTCCATCCTTTCTCAAAACCTCAGTCCCAGACCTGGATTCTGGATTCTAGCAAAGGCTAGAAGAAACGTAAGTCACCAAACTTTTCTCTTTCTAACACATTCTCAACACCTCCATTGCTTCTTGCCTGCCAGAAGATGAGCACGAAAACCACAGCACCATGTTACCCAGGGTCAGTACTTGCATGTCTTAAGTAACGTAGGTGTGCCCTGAGACCCAAAGCCCTCAAGTCTTGTCTCAGCAACCCTAAAAGAAACCAACAGAGGCTGTAATAAAACTAGGCTCCCTTCTTCATACCTGATCAATGGCATCTGGGTTTTCAGAAACATCAAAGATGACCGCTGTGGCTCCTCGCTGTACTGCTCGTTTTGCCTGCAATAAGAAAGACAGCATCCTCAGTCCCACCCCAAAAGATGACTTCTTACCTCAGAAATTACTCCCTCTCCTCATCTCCAGATAGTAAACTTAACATTTTGTGTTTCTGTGTAGCTAAAACAAATGACAGAGTAATTACAAGCACTGGAGTTCCTGAACCAGCAGGGAATGTAACTAAACTTCACTACAGCTTCTACAATCTCTCTACCCCTTCCTCTCAAACTTCTCCAACAAGCTTTTAAAGGAATTCAGATGTGATGTAAACCCTCTAAAGACTTTAAATACAATAATTTAATTTTTTTTTTTTCTCCCTGTTACTTGGAAGCACCATTAAAAACAATCTTCCCTATTATTTCAGGTGGAGAAACAAGCTCATTAGTGTAGAAAATAAAGGTGGATCAAAGTCTTCACACCTTTTCAGTGTCATTCTCACAGTCATGACAAACTCTAGCATATCACAATCCTTGCAAAAAAGTGCCTCAGAAAATACTGCTCTTTCTGACCATTAGAGGTCAGAACTGTTGCATATAACACTTCTTATGCAGGTAAGATCAGATGTACTTAAGTGCACTGCTTTTCTTCAAATAGGCAGTCCAAACCTGGAGTTACCAACAGCACAGAGGAGGCATTAGAACATACCAAAATCCTCTGAGGCAGAGAAAACAGTTATTTTAACGACCGAGGCTAAGTGAGGGTATTTTTGCCAGTTTCTGCCGCTGTGCCTCTGTACGTTCTGTTCAAATGTTGCTCAATGCCTCCATAGAGCAAATATTCCCACTAACTTTCCAAAGCTGCTACCGCCTTTGCTGGATGCAGAATGCAAGCAACTGTCCAGGTGATGACAGCTGTGACCATGGCAGTACGAAACAAGAGGACACCGGCTCTTCGTGGAGACTAGCAGAACCTCAACTTAGATTGAGATACAAAAGAAACATACAAAAGTGATAAATTATGAAATATTACTGTTTCTCAAGAAGAACGTTGGCCAGCACACAAATATTAGCCTCAACACTTAAAGGTCACTTTCTTTGCTGTTCTTAAATTTTGTTTTTATTTTAGATCAATCAAGCCCATCACCAGACAGTGCATGAGGGAAACTAACTCCCAAATGGGGTGTCTTTCTCAGCCCAGCACATATTTGCCCCCTTTGAAGTCAACACACCTGGCTAATCACTAATAGCTGTTGGGGAGAGAAAGTTAAAAGGAATCCACTCCACATTCTCCACTCAGGGGCC